AGAAAAGCAATGACACATATATATATATATATATGAGAATGTGCCCCCTGCTGGGACAGATAATGTAGGCCCGCCTGAACCGGCATGACAGATTTCAAAACCTGTCGTAGAGGGTTCACCAACGTCCTCTTCCTCACTCTCTCAAAAATCGGCGCGGCGATTCGCCATTCGTGGTCTGTCGCCTCTCTGTATATATCGACATGGTTGGGCATTGACAAGATCCACTTGGAGGCCAAATAGGAGGTGGAGAGGACTTTTTTGCGCTATAAGACGATCGCAAATAATCAGATATTCTCTGTTTTAATTCTAAGAGATATCGAGTCATTGGCCGGCCATTCTTCCTCCGCAGACATCTCCATCCTCGGTTAAGGAGATCTGGTACATCGTAATGCAATTTGCTGCTTTCTTACACTCTAGAAATTCTAGATCTTTTTGCTGTGCATTTTCTTAATTTCATGACTCCTTTGTTCTGTTAATGATTTTTTTTTCTTTTGTGGCGTAGATCCTTAGACAAGTTACTAAGTTTTTGCTGCAGCGGAGGAAATGCTAAATCGGTGACCATGATGGGAGGCTTTCTAACTAGGGTTTCTATGTAAGTATTTCTGAGTCGAACGATTTATGATGAGGTTTTTGTTTTCTGCTGCAGTTTTGTTAGAGAGAACGACGTTGTTTAATTTACTTGTACAGCTTGATTCTTGGATATGCTTATCCGGCATATGCATGCTACAAGACAGTGGAACTGAATAAACCGGAAATTGAGAAGCTTGTGTTTTGGTGTCAGTACTGGTTGGTGTTTGCTCTTTGGATCCTGTTCCTGGTTTGATTTGTCTCAAGCGACAAGTAATTTAAAATTTTCTCCCTTTTTTGGGTCTTCAGGATTTTAGTCGCTGTACTGGCAGTTTTAGAGAAAGTTGGAGATGCTCTCATTTCATGGTAATGAGGATATACATTTTAGGGGATGTTTGGTAGCATATTTTTAACAGGATTTAGTCATGAATTTAACTTGAATCTAGTCAAACATGAAAAAAAAACGAATACAAAATCCAACGCCACGTTAAATCGATTTTACTTGCAAACTTTTTTTCCTTCACGAGCTCGCCGGATTTAATGGATTTGATAGATCCCATTTAACATAAATCTGGCGCTGCAGCCAAATACCGCCTTAATCAGTTTCATATTAGACATGAATAGTGGCATAAAAATGAATGGAAAAACTCATGATTAAATTTGATAAGGATATATTGATTCTACTTTTTTTCATAAAAAGGAAAAAATCTGAGTTAGGCATGTTCTTTCCTACTGAAGGTTTCCTCTGTATGGAGAACTTAAACTGGCTTTTTTTGTATATCTCTGGCATCCTAAAACAAAGGTGAGTTTCTATATTAACTTCCATTTTTGAATTACATTATTGTTTTTACTATTCACTTTATATTTTGCATACTACAATGTTTTAAAGAATTTACGGCCCATCATGTTTGAAATCATTACAGGGGACGGCGTACGTTTACAATACCTTCTTTCAGCCGTACATTTCTAAACATGAAAATATGATTGATCGTAATCTACTTGAGTTGAGAACCAGAGTTGTTGATTTAGCAGCACGGTTTTGGCATGAAGTTTTGGGTAATGGACGGTCATGGTTCTTTGAGTTCCTGCAGTTTGTGGTCTCACAACCAGCAACTATGGTACACCCAGCTGAGGTATCTGTTATTACTAAACAAAAGAGTAGGTCTTCATTTGATTTCATTATTATACCATAAATGTTTTGGAATCATGTGAATGTTTTATTCTTCTTCCTCGTTATGAAATTAACATGTTGACAAGGTGAATAACACAATTTTAAGTGGGGGAAAGTGTCAAAATGATCCTGTGATTCCTTTTAGAGGTTTTAGAGGGTTATTTTAGACCTAAAGTTTATGTGAATTTGATCAAATTTAACACCTTTTATGTCAAACGAATTTTTTGAATTCTTACCCCATTCCCATTCAACTCGTCCCTTTTTAGGAACTATCCATGGTAGCTTTCAAGCATATATTAAAGGGTTTATTTTCATTAACCCCTACATGCATCATGTTATGATTGAATTGATGTATCATTTGTTAAATGTGAATCCTTTCCCATAAAACATATTGTTTGTTTGATCAAAAGTCTTAAAAATGTGCATTGCATTCCCTTAGCATACATCTAATTCAATTTTCTTTTACATTAGATTACCCAAATCTCTCGTGTCACATAAGAAAATACCACCATTTTTAAATTTTTTAAAAAAATGAAATACATCTTTTCATGCATCGGTAAGGTGGCTTGTATGTAAAAATGAAAGTATAGGCGTTAGATATATAAATACATAAGAATTGAGTGGTATATAGGTAAATCTATGCATTCTAACATTTCTAAATTACATAATAGTCCATATTTCCATTGACTACAGGAACCAAGACACCCTCAACATGCATCCACAGCAGCATCGCCTGATTCAACACTGCAAACATCAACTTCCCCGCAGACAAAGATGGAGCACTCCAACTTCATTAAGACCCAGAAAAAAGAGCAATTGAAGACCGACGCCAACAGCCCAATCTCTCCTTCCTCAGCCTTGCCTAAACCCAGCCATGGCCGCCATTTTCTTAGGTCCAGTACTCCTCACGATCCTGCTCCTGCTCCTGCTCCGCCATTTTCTTAGGTCCAGTACTCCTCACGATCCTCCTCCTGCTGCTCCTCCTGCTCCTGCTCCTGCTCCTCCTGCTCCTCCTCCTATTGCAATATCTCCGCATAGTGAAAAGTCGCTTCCACACCCCGAAGACTCCAAACAAGAAGAGCCAATGCGCGTTGCTCGTCGCCCAAGGGTCAAAAAACGAGTCACCACAACCGGGATATTTTGGTGCTAAAATTTAATACATCAGAAGGTATATTTCACTCTTAAAGAAATAATAATAATGGTATATGCTATTTTCATCATCCTTTCCAGTCCCAAATTTTAAGAGTGAAATCAAACTTTTGCAGCTACTTTTCTCATCTCTTTGCCGTCTTTAAGTGCGGACAGGCCCATGGGACTCAACTTGAATTAAGATTATATTGGTAATAATTTTGTGAAACAAGGATTATTCAAACTTGTCTCAATGAATAATGATATTAATTCTTCTGATTCCATCAATGAATAGATTAACATATAAGAATATTTTTCCATTTGTTATAGAAATTATATTAGTTTGCCGTCTTTAAGTGCGGACAGGCCCATGGGACTCGACTTGAATTAAGATTATATTGCTAATAATTTGGTGAAACAAGGATTATTCAGAGTAGTCTCAATGAATAATGATGTTAATTCATCTGATTCCATCAATGAATAGATTAACAGATAAGAATATTTGTCCGTTTGTTATAGAAATTATATTAGCAGGAATATAAGCGAACATCTCTAGATCGAGCCTCCATTATTAGTAAATAGTCATACTTCACCTAATCGAGAATTTAATTTAGCGGCTCTTTCTGATGATTCTTAAGCATCGATCGGTTAGGACTTCCATTTAGTTTCACCCAGGCTTCATCTTGGTTATTGATAGATCATCCATGTTGGGGTCCATAAGCATTGAAAATTGTTTTATGAAAACTTACTTTTGGTATGACTACGAAGGATTCTCTTAACCGAACCTCTGCTTATGAGTCATCGGCTCATTCTTCAACAGGAACCTGGTCAGAGATCACATTCTCTTTCCACTGCTTGGGACTTCTTTTCATCTTTCCCTTACGATACTACACTCTTCTTATCATAATAAGAATGCAAATAACTCTATTTCGGTCTAATTCAGTCTGGTTAGAATCTGATAATTGAGTCGATTCCATGATTCTGAGTTCATAACTCCAACCCATGCCCATTTTGGACGGAAATGATCTACTAATTCTTTTAATTAGTTAGTAAAAGAGATCCTGAATTAATAAATAGACCTAAAAGGTTAAAGAGAGTATCCTTAGCAGTTTTAAGAATTCGATTCAATATATTCCAAGTATAGTAGATGTTATCAAACATATAGTCATACTCAATTCAATGGAATTGTTTGATCTTAACGAAAATCTTCTATAATTTTGCATGTGAAAGGTTTTTTATTGGTTTTGATAGGACACTTTACGAGTGTTGTTTCTGTCTCTATCTAATATCTAAGTAAAATCAAATTATTAATGACTAGGTGAAACAAAAAAAAAGGCTTGATAGCCATCCACACAAAAAAAATTATTAATTGATAGAGTTTTTTGAAAAAACCTCAGTGGAGGAAGACCACTTAAGGATAAGAGATTTAGAGCTAAGGAGAGCCAAAAAAATTCTTTTTTGTATAATTCTGCATAATCTCGATTGTTATCAATTTTGATACTTAACATAAAGAAAAGCAATGACACGAGTGAGAGACTCTATCAAAAATGTGCCTGAAATATTCACCTTGCATGGCTCTTAAGTGATAAAAGAACGAAGAACTATTCTTCTTTTCTTTCTTATTTGATTAACTTCCTACGTATGTGTAAGATTTAATCCATTTAATTTCTAAGCGGGGTTACAATTGCTTAACTTCTTGTGGAATTCTTTATCAGTGGTTATGAATGATTGACTTCTTAAATTTTTTTCTACCATGGTTCCATAGGAGCAAGTAAAAAAGAATGAGAAATAGATACCCTTTTGATTTGATTCATTCCCCATAGCCATGAGATTCTCATCTTTGGATAACTCTTTTATCAACATATGCTTTTATTACATTCAGTTTCTGAAGGATGAAAACCTATTATGTCGCATCTACATTGACATTTTAATTATTGCATATGTCATTAATCTGATCCCTTGTAGAGCTAACCGTAATAATGAACTTGCAAAATATATCTTTTTTATCATAAATAGATTCGTTGTTCCTGACCCTGCTTCACTCTAACTATTTTTTGAATAAAAAGATCACAGTAAACTTTTTTCAAAGTAATGTTGGCAGTAAAGGTGACTTATTTGTCAACTATTAGTCCATCAACCCCAAAGAATCAAATTTTGTCTTGCGTAAAGTTGCTAGAGCATGGTTAGCCTCTATATTTGAAATCATTCCTTATATACTTGGTATTGGCCATATTTCACAAAATAATTATGTAGCATTCGTAAGAGGTGAAAAGTTAAGGATTTATCCAATGTGAGAGATTACATTGTTTGAGGAAACTTAGATGTTGGCAGAGTAAAAGATCCCCAACAAGGGTGTTCTACTATGCTTTAGATTCTTATCTAAGACTTGTATCATTCAATGATGTTGTGTGAATCGTTAGAAACATGTGAAGTATATTATTAACTCAAACACAAAAGTTTCAGAGGGGGACTGAAGCAGGCTACCATGAGCCAAAATATCTTCTTTCTAAGTGGTTTGATTCAAAGCTACTATGTTCATGGTCCAATATTGGAATAATATAATGGGTTTTCCCTTCCTCTGTCCAAGTCAACAAACAATTTGAAATATCTTGACTTTTAAAAATAGGTTCGAGTCCAATAGAAATGGTTTGAAGCACTTCTTCTGCCATTATTTTAGAAACCCAAGGTCTTGATGTATGGATATATAAAATACAAGATTTCTAATCCTAGAAGGGAAATGGGACAAAAAGATAATCAATTTAAAATGAAAGTGAGTAAACATAACTCCATACTTAATCTGATAGTGTTGAATCTGAAAATGACGTATGGCCCTGTATTATCAATAAGTACATACAGCTTAGCCAAGGGATTCTAGATCACAAAGAATTACATTGGAAGAGCTAGAGAGAGAGGAAGAGTGTTCTCAATAAAAGGATTTGGAGTCTTCCAGGAAAGAGAGATGAGGAAGGAAGAAATTAGTGAGAGAGAGAGAGAGACATCTATAGAATCCCCTCTTTTCTTTCCTCGTGTCAAATCTTTTGCGCATGAGATAGAAAATAATATAAAATTATCAAAATAGGACATCAAGGACTGTATTTTTTAACTTCTCTTTGACCATTATTGTAATTATGAGGCATCTTTAAGTAGTGTCAGATATTGTTGGTACAATAACTATCTCCAATGTTTGGGTGATGGGACTAAATCCCAATATCAGATGACATCCTTAAATGAGAGATGGACAGATGTCATGGTTGTTGATGATGACTTGAATTGTAATCTTTTTAAAGATAGGTTTAAATTGTCTTCTTAAGGAAGATGGAACAAGCTAGATTAGTTGCTTTGGTGTGTGGGCTTGATTCAGCTGCTTCAGCAGATCGACTCAACTCAGTAGCTTTGACAGATGGGCTTGATTCAACTACTTCGGCAGATGGGCTCAATCTAGCACTACGGCAGATGAGCTCAATTTAACCACTTTGCTAGGTGGGCTCCATTCAACCACTTCGACAGGTGAGCTCAATTGAGCCACTTCAGCAAATGAGCTTGATTCAACCTGTGAATGGGCTTAATTCAGCAACTTTGGAAAGTGGGCTCAATTTAATCAGATAAAATCTAGTTATAATTTTATTTATACTGATTTTTTTGCATTTTGTTCCTCAATTCTCTTATCTCTTTAATCAAATTTTTGTAATAAGATTGAGAGAATGAAAATTGTTCTATCCCTTCGAGACCTTTGAGGTGAGGAGGCTTATCTCAAGAAAGAATCTCATTATCTTTGTGGGCTCACCTGCTTATTCTACTTTGAATCAAAATTTTCAATGTATCAGCAACACTCTAGGATTGGCCCTCGCTTGGGGAAATCTCGTGCTTCTCTCTATAAGGAGTAGTCTCTGGTTCTACGCTTATGATTTATAATGTTTGTTTTTCTTTGGGCGCCTCGACTCTCTCTTGGAAAGGGATACACTTTAATTTTGCCTATCCTTCCTATTGAAGTCTGCTAAGGGTTTTTAGAAGAAGCGTGAGTTTAGGCGTGTTCTGTATTTGGATATTCATTTGTTAACACATGAAAAGGCTTAAGAGTCGTTTATAGGGTTCAACCTTCATAAACAAAGGGAAAATTTTGAGAGGGAGATTATTTGATTAGTCAAATTCTTGAAGCAAAGTCCACTTTACGTTGGCAATGTGAAGAGGTGATGACCATGAAATCTGAAATTACATTGATCAAGCAATGTGCAGAGCTTGATAATCCCAATAGTTATATGGTTGGTGGTAAGGAGGTGCTCTGATGCCTCTTCAACTTGGAAGCCATTAACATGGAAGATAAACAAAAGAATGCTCTTTCTTTCTTCTATGACTGAACATGCATTTAATTATATGACTTATGTATTCAATCATTGTCTAAGTTTTATTTTTCTGTTTTTAGAATTAAAAAAGGGAATTTTTTTCCTTTTCTAGATGTTGCTTTATTTTTTATTATATCGCTTCCCCTTCCTTATTTATGTCTTGTATTTGATAATTTCTTTTAGAATCCATATCTGTTGTACTTCTCATTGCTTTTATTAAAAATAAAATAGCCCTTTGTTCCGCTCTCTCTAATTTGGTTGGCTTTCCTAGCATTTCTTGAGTGAGTACATCTCTTTAGGGCATTTCAATGTAGTACAATCATGGATAGAAAGAAAGAAAGCCTTCTCCTGCCAGCCAAGATCCAAAAAAGTTTATGGGCCAAAGAATGTGGGCGGCTAAAGCCCAATCAGAGTTTGTATTTGATAATGTCATGATTCGAAGAGATTCAACAATAGAGGATGAAAATTTCCATACTATGTATGAGCATTAGATATGAGACTTCTTTAAGTAGTTTCATGCAAGTTTGCATTTTCTCTTATGTAAAGTTTGTTGATATTTTGAATTTCTTTGGGTCGCTCTTGCATGCATAAACCCCAACTAGATAGTTAGGGTGATAGCAGTTATAATGTATGCTGAGAGGTCTCTTTTGGTTGATGAACTTGTTTCATGACATTTTCTTGA